CATTGCTTCCTTACAGTTCTCGTACTCCGTGGGTCAACCTACTGATTACTCTGGGTTTTGGTGGTATCAAGAGCCAAGGTTACACAATATTCTGTGAGTGTAGTCACAGGACTTAATGTATATTTGCAGATACTTTTTGTCATTTCTTTGTTCCTTATTTTGTTTCTATCCTTAAGCAGAGTGATTCAGGCTGAACTTAGAAAACAATAACACTCACAGTACACCATTCATTTTAGTCATATTTTTTTGCCCAAATTGGGAATCAGGTTTCTACTTTTCAGCTACCTTCAAGACCACTTCCGTCGCGCTTTCGTGGATTATCACAAGAAAAACAAACGGTTACCAGTGGAAGTTATGGTGTACAGATCGGGTACAAGTGAAGGAGAGTTCGCGGAGGTATTCGATCAGACTTCTTGGGAAAAAAATTCACTGTCTTTCATAATCATCGTTAGTTGATAAAAAAATTCAGGTTGGAAAGGAAGCGAGTGAAATTCGCGCCGTTGCTGAAAGAATGGCTGATCTAAATGGTGGTAGACCGTACCGTCCAAAGATTACTATCATCGTCGCACAAACTAACAGCAATTATAGGTCAGTATGAAACACTTGCAGATTTTTTGAACTTGTTTGCTACTTATGCCATATCAGGATAATGCCGGCCTCAATGCCACCTGCCAACGGTGGTCGAATGAGAGCCTCAGATCTCAACGTTCCGTCTGGAACATGTGCAGACACTGGCATTACTCATCCACGTCTACGAGAGTTCATTATGACATCTCAACAGGCTAACATTGTGAGTTCTACTACCATGTAAATTGACCGTAACGTCCAAATATTTCTTAGTCTCCATTCTGGCTTTGACTTGCCCTCATACAACCGCAACTTTCCTGAATAGCGCTGCGTTTTCACCAAGGTTGATGCATTACCGTGAAAACTGTTTTAGGGTACTTCTCGTCCTACCCGATACACAATCGTTGTTGAAGATAAGCCGCAGATGTCTCTAACTGATGCAGAGCATATAACACATTTTCTCTGTCATGGTCATCAGGTGTGTTTGGCCCTACAACGTTGATTGAATTATTCTGATTCCCTTGATATTTTACCATTTAAGTATTGCTTTCGGTAGAGATTCTCTTTTACAGCAATCAACTCTGCCCACACATGTTCCCGCTGTTCTTTATGCGGCTGAGAATTTAGCGAAGCGAGGTCGTGCTGCATGGAAAACTAAACTGTAAGTCTTTTCAAGCAGGTATTTTGATCGCGCTGAAGGTCTCGTTCATCTAAAATATTTGGTCCCTTGAGGTATAC